AAAATTTGTATGTATACCCAAGTGTCATTAACTAATGAAATAATTTTATTACCCTCATGTCCCAATACCGAGAATATATTGAACGCCCCTCGTATTACTCGCGCCGTTGCCTGTCCTGACCCAATCCTTAACTCCGTGGAACCCTTTAAGCCTAGCCTTTAGCCTTTAACTCCGACAAAAACACAACACCACTAACGGACAGAATTACTCCACTATCATCATCATCATCATCATCAGCCTATTAATGTCCCCACTGCTGGGGCACAGGTCTTCCCTATGGATGGATTAGGGAGATTGAGCCGTGACCCACCACGCGGGCCCATTGCGGGTTGGTGGGTGCTAACGACTGCAGATGCAGTCGAGACAAACGGCTTAACGTGCCTTCCGAAGCACGGAGGAGCTCGAGATACTTAATTTTTGGTCACCCATCCAATGACCGACCACTGCGAAAGTTGCTCAACTTCAAAGACCGCAGCCGAACGCGCTAACCACTGGCGCCATCGAGCTCCACTGTGGTCCTGAGATAAGAAATAAACTATAGATTTTATCTTTTGCAGTTTGTTGTAGGCAGTCAATCAGAAATCAGAAATCAATATATCTTTATTCAAATTGGATGTATAGTACAACACTTTTGAATCGTCCAAACATTTTTTTTCCCTACCACTCGTTATTGGACATATTTTTTAGCTGCGGAGAAAAACGAGCGAAAAAAACTCCACAACATTAAAAGCATAATGTAACAACATTTACAAATCATTATGTTGTTACAACGTCAATACAATCATGATTTATTTAATATAGAATACCTGTTGGAATGATTGGAACAGTTCAAACCCAAGCATTTTTGTCTGTAATATAATCAGACACTTTGTAATAAGCTTTTTTAATAAGTGCTTTTTTTATACTATCTTTGAATTTATTTATGCTTAACTCTTGGATATTGCTTGGGACTTTATTGTATAAGCGAACACAAAGACCTTTAAATGAATTATTGATTTTGTGAAGCCTAGTAGCAGGTAAAGTTAGTTTATTTTTGTTTCTTGTATTAAATGTGTGAACATCACTGTTTTTAAGAAACAAATTAATATTTTTTCTTACAAGTAATAAATTTTCGTAAATGTATGTATGCGACCGTCATTATACCAAATTCTTTAAACCTATCCCTTAAGGAATCCTTAACTTTAAGATTATAAATTGATCGAATAGCTCTCTTCTGCAGCACAAAAATAGTTTGAATGTCGGCGGCGTTTCCCCACAATAAAATTCCGTACGACATTACACTATGGAAATAACTAAAGTATACTAATCTGGCCGTATCTACATCCGTTAACTGGCGTATCTTCATTACGGCATATGCTGCAGAACTAAGTCTATTTGACAATTTATCAATATGTGGGCCCCATTGAAGCTTAGAATCTAAAGTAATCCCTAAGAATACTGTGGTGTCTACAAGGCCCATATTCCTATCCTTTACATTCACACTGGTTTTTACCTGTTTTACATTAGGTAATACAAATTTAATACATTTCGTTTTTCCTTCATTTAGTAATAAATTATTAACATTAAACCAGTGGACTACCTTAGAGATACAACTGTTCACGTCGTCAATAACTGTTTCCTTACGTTTGAGTTTAAATAAAAGTGATGTATCATCCGCGAACAATACTATCTCATCTCAGTCTCTATGGTAAACCCCTGCTATAACATCAAAAAAATCTTATACGCTTTTCATTCTAATGTGGCAGCTCTATGAGTGTGAGCCTGTCTAGTTAGCATCAGGAACTTATCAGATTTTTTTCACAGTAATGGTGATATTTCCGGATTGTCTTACAAGTAATTTTTTAATAACATACCTGTCACAGGTTATTGATCAGTCAGTCAGTAACCGTTGTCTTTTAATACAAAGATTATTACGTAAAAATAAATCTTTTCTTCTCTCTACTGTTACGACTTTTGAGCAAAAGACTAAAAAAACAACTAATCTTCACCATTCTTGCAGCACATCTTGGATGTGTTCCAAAAATCTCCGATGTTGAAAACTAGCAGCTCGTATCTATGTCTAAATTAAAAGACGATTCTTTTCTTTTCTTGTCATTTAGTACACGTCAGACTTTAGTTAATCATAATCAGAATCATAAGATCGATAAGAATAAGTCGTCAATTTAATTAGAGGTAGTAGGTAAGAAAATAATGTATATTTTTCTTCAATTAATTTATCCGAAAAATTTCTCCATTTTAACTCAATAATTGTGTAATTATGAAACCTTAACCATTTTAATTGGCATACATTGATTCGGTTTTGTTTTAGGGTTCCGTACCCCGAGGGTAAAATTACTAAGACCGGACCCTATTATTAGTAATAGGGTACGGTCAGTGAAGACAGATAGACGGACAGTGAAGTCTTAGGTCTTAGGACTTCACTGTCCACAAATGGGCGGATGCACAAATTTTTTCTAGTCACATTTTCTTCATATTTAAACATCTAGCAGTTGAATGCTGGAAAAAAAGTTTTTAATACAATTTCTGCTTCTTCTTTCAAATGTTTAAAAAATAATTGTAAAGGTGTTCGTCTGACATTGTGGGTTACCAACAATGCGAAGAGATGGCGCTGCCTTAAAGCCTAAGAAATACTAGCTGAAATTCGACAAGGCCATTAGGGCCGCGGTATCATCATTATGCTACCGGTTATCAGTGCATTCGCCCGGATAGCGAAGGGTGCGAGTTCAAGTCCTGTCTACTGCCTGGTCCGCGTGGAATTAGTTCTAGTAAAAAATTCTTTTGATTTAAACATTTAGTAGTAAGATAAGATTACATAAGATAACTCTTTATTATAACACCAAGGAACATACAATATAATACTTCTCGTTTAAGTCTAAAGTCAAAGATCATTTTCTCAAACAGAAATCTCAAACTTAATGAATCATTCTCACGAAGTATCTTGTTTCTTATTAGTATTTATTTATCAGGCTTATATGTATGTTATGTATATTTAGATAGGTATTGTATTTATCTATGTATATTTATGCAAGTTTATTTATGTAGGTATATGTATTGTATAATGTGTATATATATATACAACTATTATTTACTAAGTCTATTTCCTATAACAGTAGTAATAAATTATTTTTAGTTTAATTTTTATTACACTTTCTGTTTCCCGCTAAGTTTTGAATCTCCGACACCACCTCGGTTGGCTGGAAGAGATCTCTTTTAGAGATAAGCCCACCTTTGCTTACTATGTATTTGACTATATTTTTTAAACTGTATGATGCAATAAAGAGTATAATAATAAACATTAATAATAGAGTATAATAATAAATAATAATTAAGCGTGTTACAACTGGCGGTCTTATCGCTGAAAGCGATTTTTCCAGACAACCGTGGAAAGTTATATAGGAACTGAAAACATTTGGGTGTTCAATTTTACATACCTAATATCTATATGCTAAAACAAAATATATAGTGTAATCTGTGACTAACGACATAATAATATGAATATATATATATATGTTCTATATATATATATATATATATATATATATATATATATATATATATATATATATATATATATATATATATATATATATATATACGTTATTTCTATTCTAAACACATTATACATAGAACCATACACATATACACACAAGAAACAGCAACGTCATGGATATTGTTCGTGATGAAATTGCTTTAGCTGATGTTTGAACATATCCAACGTCCGAGCCTGTCTGACAGCTACAGACAACGCGTTCCAAAGACGAATAGCTTGTATGGCAAACGAGTGATCATATAAGGTAGAGCATTGAGAAAGTCAGATTTTCTAATGACGTAAGAAAGAGCGATAACGCATTTTGTTGGAACTTAAAAAGTTCCTTAAATCCCTAAATATTGTAGAGAAGTGACAGTGTGTGAGTATTCCGGTGTAAGTCTGATAGGAAGCCGCTTGAACTAAGAGCAAAAATTGGAGACATGATCAAATTTCCTCAAGCTAAATATAAATCTGATGCAGACATTATGGAGCCACTCAAGATTGTTTAGCTGATCCTCCGTTAGATCTAAATAACAGGAGTCGGCGTAACAAGTATAGGAAGCAACAGAGATTGTGCTAGCGCAGTTTTAGTGACGACGGTAGGAAGGAAATTACAACATCTTCTGTCTGTCTAGCAAAGGGTGCGGGTTCGAGTCCCCATTGCTGCTTGGTTCGCGTGGATTCTTTTCAAGTAAAGTTTTCTTAATATATGTATGTGCTTTTAATACTTCTTAATTAATAACGGCGACAGGTATTTAGTCGTATATTCGCATTAAAAAAAAATTGAATTAGCAGACGTGATATGTTTGGCATTTTTTGCTCGATATTATAATATTGTGTCCAATGTTGTATAGATAATGGTTTGTCAAAGTTAATGTTATCACATCAAAGTTGATGCCATGGTAAGCGATAGCATTAAAAAAGGCGTAGGTGTCTTATGTTCTTAATTTCTTCCTTCCATAGGCGCGTTATTATCGGTTAATAATATCGGATTCGTTATTGCAATATTTGTGTTTAGTAAATTATGTATTACAATAATGACGCAATACAATAGAAGTATGACGAAATATCGGAATAACGCATCCGATAATATCGACCGATAATAACGTGCCTATGGACGGAAGGCTTTATGGATGCTTGCTAGGAAGATTTAAGTATAGGAACACAGTTCGCACATATTACTAGCAATACTGTTTCGCATATCCGCGTTCAATTAAGATCATGCTTTATTCAACTATAGCATACCTACTGTAGACAAGTTCATAAATATTTATTATCATCAATTTTTAAAAAAAGGCAAATTTAGAATGACGTGTTTGTCATCTTTCAGCGGCATATTAAATAAACTGTTTTTGTAGAGCTTTTATTCATCATCTCTGCAAATTACAAATCTCTGCGGCTCGTTGCGATATTGATATAAGTTTGTGCGTACTTATCTACGCAATATTAAATTGAAGTTTTATTTACTTACATGTCCCTCCCCAACCGAGGTATCCACCGGCGCACGTTATGAAGTACCCTCCGCCAAATATGAGTAAACTTCGTACAGTGGGTGCGTAAGGGTCGCTGTGATCCGGTACAGAATCCGCCAGAACTCCCCACAGTATTCCAAGGCCAATGCCTATAAATATAGCTAGTGCTGCCTGTCAGAAATATTTTTCATTGTTTAGGTAATCATCGAACTATTGTTACTAAGAGAGGGCACAGTTGTTTTGCGTATCGAATTGGAACGCATGTCTGGGGAAGTAACCCGCCCGCCTTACATAAGACCACTGTGAAATAACACTATGAAACTTTTGGTGGTGTTGTGTTTGGGTTTGGGTCAGGGTAGACAACGGCATGAGTGATATTTTTGGTATCGCAAGCGTCTGTAGGCTATGGTCGCTTATTATCAGCCGGCCCAAATGAGTGTTTACCAAGCTTTTAACATAAAATATATATCTTATATAATTTCGGATCTGATAACGCAGGCAAGATGATTTTTTTGGTGAAAAACGCTCTGAACTGTAACTTAATAATCTCTTTAGAGGTTACATATCAAACGTCTCCCATGATGGACGGGAAGCGAAAGAAAAAATCAAGGAAACGTAAAAAATTCCAACACACTAAAAATCTTGAATTCTATATGAAGGGTGGTTTCGTAAACATTATTATTGTAAGTATTATACATTTTTCCTAGTGCTCTAGTGTTCCCAAATGTGAGTTAGTGTTTTCTGATTTCCTATAGTTATTCAAATTTAATATTCTCCCTCTACTGGGTTGTGTTATGTCGTTATGGAAGACAGTCGAATTCGGATAATGCATGCGCATAAATTTAATGTCCGAAATGCGTTTGGTTTGTAATCGATTTGGTCATTGTTTGTTCTTCATTTTTAAAAGTTAGTTTGGACTAGCTAATTTTCCAGATAGTGACAACAAAAGTAAACCACTAAAAAATCTTTTAAATTTATACAATAAATATGATTTTTATCATAGGCGCATTGCACACTGGGAGAAGCGCTGCGAAGATACACTACGCACGGTAACTCTGAGCACGGCCAAGAGCCACGGGGCGGCACGCGGTGACTTTGAGCGTGGGCTCGAGTAACGGAGAGGGTTGCCAGGTGAGTCGGGAAATCACATAAAATGAGAGCCCGCAGGCGCAGATACAGACAGCGAGCGAGAAGCGCGCGTGAGTTTTGCGTTTGAGGGATTTCATATGCCTACTTTTGTAGGCGCTTGTGACCAGTAGTACTGACTTTCCTCAAAAAACCGGACATTGTTCTGTCCGGTATGACCATTTATTTTTTACCGGACAGGCCTCTAAAATACCGGACTGTACGCTTAAATACCGGACATCTGGCAACCCTAGTCACGGAGCGGAGTAGCCGCGCGTCGGCTCTCGTAGCCGCAGCTTTGTATCGTTTAAACTTATCATATAGGAATTAGGGTTTAACTTATATTGTTAACTTAGTATCTTCGCCGCTATACAACCGCTGTATTTCAAATGCTAGTAACTTTATTCATGGTACGGATCACTTTTATCCGAGTCCGCTCGGACTTGCCTGACTTTATTCAATAAAACAGAAACGAGGAGTTAAAGAGAGCGTCGTTCAGAGTGATAAACTATTTATGTTAAAGTCGGTTATCAAGAAAAAGCTATAAATCGTTTGTAGATACCCCTTTACGATACTTACTTTTATGATTCTATAAGTAAACGTTGAGGGATAGAATATGGCGCTATTTATGACTCCAAACATGCCTTCGGTGAAGGCTGTGTCTAGCCCTCCAGCGTTACCAACAAGGAGCGCTATTTGATTCTTGGTACCAAACCCGTGGGCGTATTGTGTCATTGCAGTGGGTACTACTACGGCGGGCGATACTGACGCTAGAATAGCACCTAGATGAAGACCTGTAAATACGTAAGAAGTTTTCATAAATGTATAAGAGAGAGAGAGAGAAATAGGTAGGGCAAAGCGTGAGGTGAACTTGAAAAGATAATAAAATAATTCTCTTCAAACATTTTACTAAACTATAAAATCATACAATACATTTGAATGAGCTTTCACAAGCTAGACCATAAATATAAAACAATAGCTCTCGGAAACAATTAACGACTTATGAATACAAAAGAAGGGAACCTAAAAAAACGAAATAGGATTTGGTATGACGTAAAACTCCGTAAGCAATAAACTAAATTGAGATCTATTATTTCTGATATTTTAAAGCATCGCTTCATATTTAAGATACACGTGAAATGAATGAAAGTAATGATGGACCAAGTGGTCCTAACGTTTTTCGAATAGCGATAAAAAAATACAACACTTATGCAAAGCTTTCTTATAATCTTAACAACAATAAAATAGTTTCACATGCTTTAGCCAAGTAGAAAAAAAGGTTTGTTGGCATAGCACACAATGTTTAAGGAAGGTCACATGTAACGCAGAACAAATAGAAGTCAAAATTAAAGTTAATTAATTTTCAGATTGGGCGGTGATATAAGAAATGACGGACGTATGACCAAAGAATGTTATTTTCAAACTAGACGCGTGGGGAGAAACAAAGAGGGGATGACGAAATCGGAAGGACCAGGGGGCCAATCGCCTAAAGGGATTGCTATGGCTTACGATTTCTATTTGGTATTTCTGACGCCGAAGGTTTTCAAATGCCTCGCCCTCTTTTTTTTTCTTTTGCATTGGTAATAACAATGTTAAAGAAAATGAGCGCGAGGCATTTCAAAACCTTCGAGTGTCAGAAATAACAAAATGCAATCCAAAGTACGGAGGTGCTATTAGATAGTTTTAGTCTTAGTACAGAGGGCACAGACCTTTCCTCATCCTCAGATCAGTACACACATACATATTATGTATGTATACTCAGTAATGGCAAGACAAATAAAACTTTATTACTATTACTTAAGTTTTCTATATGTAAATAAAAAATCAGGCAAGTACGGGTAAATGAAACTAAAATAAAAACCTTTCGTTTAATGCACCTAGGATTATTAATTTCTTAGTTAAAACTCCGTAATTAACATTACTATGATGAAAAAGAAGTACCTAATTCAAATGATATATATTTACCCCAATACCACGGAAACCCCAGCAGGAGGTGGGTAAGGGATGCGGTCGACAAACACTCCACGATCCAAGGCAGTGTTGCCAGCGAGAACACTCTCAAGGAATTACTCTTAATATATTCCCAGTTCCAACTAAGTGGGCCCTTCGTCAGGATGATCACAGGATAAATTCGTCTGCAAAAATGTGAGTGCATTTATTTTCATTAATTGACAGAGTCGTTAAAATAGAATGTCTCAACATAATAAATTCAACATAAATTCAATAAATTTGAGTGAATAATTTTTTTTTAGTTGTATGATAATTCAAAATAATTGAAAGTTAATACTGTTGGTTTGTGTGCGTGTATAATAAAGCTGACTACGATCAATTTAAAGAAAAAAAATACTAGAAAAAACTCCACTCGGACAGCCTGGTCCGCATGGCTCGAACCGGCACACACCGCAGACGGGACTCGAACCCGCATTCTCCGCTATCGGAGCGGTAATGGGTATCCATTCCGTGAGATTGGCAAAGCATCAAGGGTATAACATTATCCACATCTCCACTATTATATAAAGAGAGAATCTGACTGACTGATTCATCAATGTAGAGACGAAAGTCCTCAACCTAGAATGATAAAATGAGGATTTTTGAAAATTTTACCACTTAATAGTCAAAGCACACAGAAGCCGGAGGCGGAGCGGTAGCGATCGCGAACCGTATCAGGCGTGGCGGTCGGGTTCCGGGTGTTGACACACTGCCAGGCGTGCCAAAGTGGTGACTGTGCGATAGCGTCTAGGAGGCGTTTCGGTGCCTCCTGTATGTTAGCGTCGCTTTGTGGCGTTGTTTAGTTTAGAAAAATGTGTCGTCATCATCATCATCATCATCAGCCTATTAATGTCCCCACTGGTGCACAGGCCTTCCCTATGGATGGATTAGGGAGATTGGGCCATGACCCACCACGCGGGCCCAGTGCGGATTGGTGGGTGCTAACGACTGCAGATGCAGCCGGGACCAACGGCTTAACGTGCCTTCCGAAGCACGGAGGAGCTCGAGATAGTAAATTTTTGATCACCCACCCAATGACCGACCACTGCGAAAGTTGGTTAACTTCAACGACCGCAGCCGAACGCGCTTACCGCTGGCGCCATCGAGCTCCTCGAATATGTGTAATGAGTCCGAAATCCATTGTAAATATCACTATCATAATATTTACAGCTGAATAAACCGCTAGTACCTCCGCACTGCAACGCGCCGCCGCCGCTCTGTGCGAACTTACTCTATACACTATCAGGAATACAACGGTCGCAGTTTGACTTTGGTTGATACGCAGTTTGACTTTGCTTTAGGTATTTTAACTGAGATACATAATTTGACATTAACTGATTTTTTTAAATTTCCGATACAGAAAATAAAGACTCTTGCTCAAATTAATCGTGGTAACGACAGGCAACTACGGAACCCTACACTGCGCGTGGCACGACGCACTTGACCGGTTTTTTGGTTATTATGCAATAGTTTCCAATTAAACAGAATCACAACAGACCTGTGCAATAGGCCTTCTGGGTTAAACACGTTAAAAAACGCGCTAAGTACATTACCTCAGAGGGAGCGTGGAAACGTGTACATATTATGACGCTTACAACTGTTTGAATTGTTATATCAAAGGAACGGTGGCTCTTAGTAAAAACATACTAATACGTTTTTTATATATAAGTTTATGATGTACAATTTTTGTCAAACGTTATTTAACGATAAAACTTACCGTTTTGATAAAAATAGTGAAAAACCTTTTTTTTACCTTTGACCACGAGTAAATTTTTTCTATGTTACCCGTACGATGGGGAATTTTGATATATTATTTTTAATTATTTTTTGAACAATTTTACTCACTTCCAGCTTGATGTAAATTTATGTACCTTTGAATGTCTAGATTGAGTAGCAGTAAAATGCTTTTGGCTTATAATAAATACAAAATGTTCCCTCTTTCTTACCTTAAATTTGAATCTATTAAATCTGCTATGGGGTTTTCCAAAAAGTTGTATTGGAATAAGTTTCTCGACAAAGCACCAATTATGGTCATGCCAACCATGCAGTTGATGGACGTATATCTCTCCATGACGTGACCGAAGACATATCCGACGATCACGGTCCCCGCCATGTGGAATATAAACCCTCCTGGTGCGACTACGTCTCTGAATATGAACCATGATGACCCCCATAGGGATAAGCCTGGAACAGAAATGAATGTGTACTCAAATAGCAATTAATTACAATATTTATTTAAACAGGTTAATGTTCTTTGTTTTCTGAGTCGAAGTAACGTAAAAACAATTGGGTATGTGAACTTTAACATAAGAGCCACTAATCAAACATTGAAAATTATCATTTTTATTTTTTGAGCATATAATTGCTTGGTGTTTAAATCTAAAGAAAATATTACTAGAAAGAAATCCACGCGTTCAGGCAGCAGACGGAACTCGAACCCGCACCCTTCGCTATCCGGGCGAATGCACTGACCAATTATGCTACCGCGGCCCTGATGGCCGTGTCTAAATCTTTTAAGCCTTTCTTAAGCTGCAAGGCAGCGCCAACTCTTCGCATTATAGTTTAGCGATTGTAGGTTTCGGTAAATTAAACTCTTCATGGTCAGTTGAGGAATGTTCTTTATTTGGGAAATCGTGTTATATTTATATAAAAATTTACATTATTTAATCGACGATAAATTGTGTAGTTCCATAATAATTAATATGAGTGATGTGCGAGCGGGAGAGGTAGGTTTGCGCCTTTCGCTCGCACCCGGCGCGAGGAATGCGGCGCGCGGGGATGCGTGATGAACAAAACAACAATATCAAATGAAATACCTTTACAAGCATTAAACATCTGAAAGAAAAAATAGCAATTATAGTTATAATTTCTATTTTTTAAGCAAGTAACTGCTTGGTATTTAAATCTAATGAAAATATTACGAACTAGTGGCCCGCCCTCGCTTCGCTTCGGTGTAGAGCTGTAGTGTAGAATTCGAATTTTTCTCAACCTTTAAACCTTTCTTAGACCTCCCCGAACATTTCAAGACCAAGATAAGATAAATCCGTTCAGCCGTTCTCGAGTTTTAGCAGGACTAACGCACAGCAATTGATTTTTATATATATACTAGCTGACCCAGCGAACTTCGTACCGCCCTAAAAAATAGGGGTTGTCCAACGGACAAAATTTTGAATCTAAACCATTCTCAGATCCCCTTGAACACACACAAAAAATTTCATCAAAATCGGTCCAGTCGTTTAAAAGAAGTTCAGTGACATACACACTCACAGAAGAATTATATATATAAAGATATAGATAATTGGTCAGTGCATTCGCCCGGATAGCGAAGGGTGCCGGTTCGAGTCCTGTCTGCTGCGTGGTCCACGTGGATTTTTTTCTAGTAACATTTTTTTACCACAACACACTGTTGTGGTAACTGTTACTGAGGAAAAACTACCTGACCACATTTAATGCTATTACACTTCTTCGTCTTTATCTGTAAAAAATATAGACTGAAGGTAATTCAGTGTAATAGCTGCTGCAAATTTGGACATGTAAAATCGCAATGTCGTTCCAGATCTCGCAGCTTTAACTGTGGTTATATGCATAAAGGACAAAGCTGCCTGAGCCAGGCACCCCCTAAATGTATTCTATATTCTGACTATCATCAGGCCACTCATTATTTCTGTCCAGAACACGAGAGACAAAAATCAATAAAATTCGTGATGTCCCAAAAAAAATTGGCGTATGCTCACTGGTGAGGAGCAGCAGCGTCATCATCAATTCCTTCAATGCACACAGAACACAAGCCCGTGGCTTGTGTTCCCGGCAGCCCCGCTATTCCTTGTCACGGTGGCGACCATGGTAACGGCGGGGCGGGGGGTATCAAGAATCTCCGGGCTAAGGAAGGCCACCACAATAGACAGACCCTGCCGACGTACAGCGGACGTACGCTACGACTTAACTCGCATCTGGCGCAACTCGAGGTGAAATTGGGAAGATTGGGTGGCACATTTTAGGCTTAAGTGAAGTCCGAAGAGAGGGGGAAGACACCATAACCCTCAAATTGGGCCACCTAATGTACTCCCGCGAGGGAGACCAACAGTCCCAAGGTGGCGGGGGGTTTTTGGTAAATAAGTCCCTTGCCGATTACGTTGTAGAGATTTCCAGTGTGTCGAACAGGGGAGTGTACCTTATTATAAAGTTCACCGAGAGGTATAGCCTCAAGGTGGTGCAAGTGTACGCACCGACCTCGACACACTCGGAGGACAAAGTGGAGGCGATGTTCGATGATATATCGAGGGCCCTCCTCCACTCCACTACCAAGACCCATTACAACGTTGTTATGGGGGACTTCAACGCTTTAGTGGGAGTACAGAATTGCAGCGAATCGGTAGTAGGATCCCACGGATTTGGAGGCAGAAATCATAGGGGGCAAATGCTCGTCAACTTCCTCGAACGGGAGGGGCTCTTCTTGATGAACTCTATCTGTGAAGTGGACTTGGCAAAGCCCCGACGCTTTGACCGAAAATGAGATCGATTTCATCATGACGGACAAGACGTACATATTCAGAGACGTCTCCGTGATCAACAGGTTCAATACCGGTAGTGATCACCGACTCGTGCGAGGCTCTCTGAATATAAATTTTTAGGCCGAGCGCGTTCGTTAGATGAAATCCAGGCTCCGACTTACTCTCCTCCAATCTATAAAAGGATTTGAAACTGGCGAACGCATCTCTCACTTGCGATTTGCAGACGACATCGTCATCATGGCAGAAACCCTGCAGGACATACAAATGATGAATGACCTAGTTGACTCTTCTATACACATCGGTCTACGGATGAACTTGGATAAAAACAAGGTCAATCAATGAACATGTTCTACCGGAACCGATTGCAATACACTGTGCCGCTCTCGAAGTTGTTCAAAAATATGTGTACCTCGGGCAGACATTGCAGTTAGGTACAAACAACTTTGAGGACGAGGTGAATAGAAGAATTCAGCTGGGTTGGGCAACGTTTGGGGAGCTACGCCAAGTTCTGACATCGTCGATCTTACAGTGTCTAAAGACGAAAGTTTTTCATCAGTGCGTCCTACCTGTGATGACATACGGGGCCGAAACGTGGACACTGATGGTATGGCTGGTCCACGGTTTCAAAGTCACTCAGAACGCTATGGAAAGGGCTATGCTCGGCGTTTCCAGAACTAGAGTTATCGACGTAGCAAGTTGAAGTGGCAGTGGGCTGGCCATACTTGCCGCAGAACAGATAACTACTACTAATACTGTGGCCACAATTCCAACGCGCACAAAGAAATTTGGTGACTCATTTCTTTGTCGCACTATCCGTAAATGGAATGCTCTGCCCGCTCACGTGTTCCCTCCCTCTTACAACCTGGGATCCTTTAAAAGAGGCGTGAAGAAGCAACATGCAGGCCGGCAGGGTGAGGATGGCTGGTGTGGCAGGTAGAACTGCTGTATCAGCTATCTTCGCGTCTGGATTTCACCTTCACTTAACATCAGGTGGGGTGGAGTCATTTGTCGGACTTAACTATAAAAAAAAAAAAAACAACCGTTGGGGTAGACGAGTTCTGGAGTGGAGACTGTGTCTAGCTAAACGTAGTGTAGGACGTCCTCAGGCACGGTGGAGTGACGATTTGCGCAAGGTGGCTGGCAAGAGCTGGATGCGAGTAGCCCAAGATCGATCTGAGTGGCGTTCAATTGGAGAGGCTTATGTCCAGCAATGGACTAAGATAGACTGTTGATGATGATGTATTTAAATAATAAATGCAATGCAATATCAATATTCATTAAAGATATCATGTTATAATTATGATGATATCATATTATTATCTTAGAGACATCCCTAAATATAATACAGCAATTTCCAAGATAAGTATTGCAGTTGTGATAACGAAATGAATATCTGCATTCATAACTGAATGTATCAGAACAGTCACATCAATTAATTTTATTACTAACCGAGTATAAGTAGTGCACTGATTCCTGAGGATGGCCTTCGAAATCGTGAAATGAATATTGATTATACAAGTACTGCCAGATCGAATGAGGTATCGACCCGAATGACGCTGAACAAGTGCAATAATTACTTCGGGTCGTTTGTTTGTTTGTTGTTCGACTAATACTGCCGAACCGACTATGCCGGTCCGCTTATGTCTCTAGCTACCCTCACAGCTCCATCTCATGAACAGAGATAGGTAGGAACTCATTTTTTTAATAGAATGCGTTTTACTGTTATAGGAAGGCGTTATCACACAAATAATAAACATAAGATCAAAAAGCAAGAGGATCTTCATACATGAAATATGATTTTTAAGACGATTACCCAAAAAAGGAGTGTAAAGTCAGGGAACTGTTTTGTATTGAGATGTCCATAAAATAGCCTGCGCAGATGAGGCGTTTGTCCGTGGACATTTTTGTCCGCCGAAATAGATCGCTTACAAATGCATTAAGTATTGCACACGATGTATTAAAGCTACAGCGTACAAAGAGTTCCCCCGAACAACCGAGGACAAAAGTACGAGGAAGAACCGGAAAAAATACCTTTTTGATAATACGAGTATCTTTTTCTTAAATTTCAAGTAAATTACAACACAACGTAATCTGAGAATAACAAAATACTTCCATAGCGTGCGCTTTTAAAAAAAATCGGAGCACAAATGTTCGCACAACGTGTCTGTGCCAAGTCCTCGTGGACATTATCCTCACGAATCCGGGACTTTCGTCCTCTGCGGACAAAAGTCTTTCGTCTGCGCCGACCTTTAATGTTATCCAATTGCTAAAAAAAATACTAATATCCCATCTTTATAGAAAAATAAAATCTATATTTATTAGTTATTTCTTTAACGGCAGTCGTGGTTTTTATTTTCTTAATATTTTGTTTAATCGAAAGTCATCTCTTTCCACTGTACATTGTGCGGAACCCTTTGTTATCGAGTCTGACTTGCATTTCACTAATACCTATTTCTTAAATCTACTACACCTACTAAAACGCCTTATTAGCCATTTGTTTTATCCCTTTGTTTCTATTGGACCATTCAATAAAGTGTTCTACCCAAAGAAGGTTAAAAATTGCACGGTGTTGATCTATTTTGCCGATTAGTTGCGAGTTAATACACAATTTTTTCAGGTTAATAGTATCCACTTTCTATCAGGCAGGTCAAAGGCGTATTTGTCGTCCTTTTTGTTATAAAAAAAAAATATCCCGTAACTTACCGCAACAAATAATTCCAAAATACTGTTTTGTTTCCTTCCAAGTCGGGAGTGAAGGTGAAAACAATCCACAGCATAACTTCGGAAGTAACTGGTACCTACAAAAAAAAATAATCGTCGATATATTTTCTTCACAAAGTTAATGTAAACAGAGGTCATATTGCTTTAATAATAATTATGGATAATTGATTCCTTCCAAGAACATGCTTACAATTTTCGATTGATTATATAATCTTAATAAATCCTCTTTACTACTCGGCATCCGATACAGGAGGTGAAAGCGACTGAGTTTCGTAAACTTTTTCCCGGAAATTATTAATGAAGTTATTTTATTCTAAGGGCCCATGAAATTATTTCGATAATCTTCCTATTACCTATTCGATTTGTTCCAATTGTGTAAATTATAAACGTTTATGCTTAGAATGTTATCCAGACTAAAAACACAATTGATAATAATAATATTTTTCAACGGGTAAGATGCACTGTTTTCATTTATTTGTTGATGTTAAAATAAGTCTGTAGTGTGTGATCATGCATTAGCTATTGAGATTAAGAAATATCCAAATTTCAATAGGGAAGATAGTTGGTATATTTCACCAGCTTGTGAACCCATTATATAACAGATAAAATCCCAACCCCGAGCACACACTGCAAGACGAACAGATACTATTAGTTCTTTTTGTTTGCATGATTTAACATAAGAAGGAGATAGAAAGCCTCTCTGAGTTTGTTTCGCCGGTTCTTCTCAGAAAGGTCTCCCTATTTTGAAACTGGTGGCAGATTACGGTAGTTAGGGTCAAATTAATAAACGCGAAATTATAAAAAATAATTAAATAAAGTAATTTATTAATTAAATTAGCTAGTAAATTCATCTATAGACAATAAAGTTTTAAAAATCTTTCAATGAAATATCCGAACGCTCAATAAAAGTCTTTCGAAGATACGTCGACAAAATAGATAAAAAATCATCACATTTCTGCAAAGGATGCCACGTCAATAAATAAATAAAATCAGTGCATTTAACCCGTTGAAATTTGTTTTATTTAATGAGCGATGTGCGTGAAAACTTAAGGAACAAAAACATTTGATAATTATATAATAGAAATGATAAATTTTTAAATGTTGATGTAGTACTTAAACTAAACTTTGAAACTTCTTATCCGTCAAAAACATGGGTAGGTAATCAATATTTAGAAGTTAAGGCGGACATGGGCTGACATACAGGGAGGCCTATTTACAGTGGCCCTTATTTTTTTAGTGTAGTTTTGGTGGATTACATGACGAATAATTTGGAACATAGATTAGATCCGAGAAAATCAATAGTTAAGATGATACGAATCCCCGGTTGATAAATAATTAAGTGACATTGATCTCCTAATTGACTTCCAGTAGTCCGATGGGACATTGTTTGTGTCAACTGACATTTGTGGTGAGATTATTTCAGGAGGCTACCGGTGCTAAGTTGAGTAAAAAACCCACTTTAACACTGGTGATGCATAATCTTCACCAGTGATAAAGTGCGGTTTTTATCCCTTATGGGATAGATTGCTCCTAATTGATCTCCAGTTGTCAGTTGGGAAAGTGTTTGTCGCAACGGACCACCGGTGGTGCGATTATTCCTAGAAGGCCACAAGTGGTGGTAAGACGAGCCTAAAAAAACTCACTTCATAACCGGTGATGAATTAGGGATCATTTGCTCCCAATTATCTTAGTAGTTAGATGGAAAAAAATGTCTCAACTTACCCCCCCTGATGAGATTTGTCGGTCAATTTAGGCCTGAGCAGTCAATAGGTTATAGTGGTTATCACCCGAGGCCTTGTTTGTCACCCGTAACCCGTAATCGAAATGTTATAAAATAAAATAAAAAAATATATGGCTATTGTTACTTACTCACGTTTTGTAGGGCTTCATGTTGTTGCAATTTGCTACTCTGGCTTGTCCATTGTGATTATCTGGAATTTTATATAAAATGTTTTTTTAACGCTAGAATCACGCTCACTCCATCCCTTCAAAGTAGTTAATTATATACTAGAGCAGTTTGTATTTCATTCGTCCTCTACGTTGAAATTGTTTTAATTAACTCTGGGAACAAGGAGATAAATGATATACGAGTTTAATCTACTTCGTTTAATGTTGTGGAGTTTCCTGTGGCCTGTCTTCTTCACAACTAATCAAGTTGAAACTAGTTTCAGGGTCAGGATCAGCGCTATTTTCACATGACAAAGGCAAAAAATCGCGTCTGTTGTATAGAAACCCCACTAAAATATTTATTTATTCTGTTTTTACTATTTTTTATTATAGCGGCAACAACATAATCTGTGGAAATTTTTACTGTCCAGCTAAAAGGGTTCATGAGATACAGCCTGGTGTTACAGAGACAGACAGACGGAAAGTAGTTTTAGTAATGGAGTTCGTTTTCACCCTTTGGGGGCGTCCATAAATTACGTGAGATGTTTAAGGGGGGGAGGGGGTCGAGTCAAATCTCATCTAATCTTACGTTGGAGAGAGGGGGGGTCGAGTCAAATATCACGCAATTTTTTTTCTGATTGAAACAAAAAAATATATACTATTTTGGTCCATTTAATCCAGATTGTACATGCTTAAAATTTAATCTTAAGCGTTATCGTAATACGATTAAGATCATTCACTATTTCGTTCGAAAGAAATAACTCTCAATATTGATTACTAGTCTTAACTAGTCGTAAATAAAAGCAAGAAGCATTTTTTTTTTCTTTTAACAATAACAATCCAACGCATTTATGTAAGAAACCCACATTTTGAAAATTTTCATGTGAGATTGGGGGATGGGGGAGGGGGTTGAAAAAAATCTCACGACATCTCACCAGTGGGGGAGGGAGGGACAGAAAATTCAAAAAAACACCTCATGTAATTTATGGACGCCCCCTTTGGGTTCGGAACCCTAAAAAGAGGAGAGTAATGTTTTCAGGATTCACGTAGGTTTATTTGTTATTTGTTTATTTATTCGACTGTATAGTCGTACAAAGTTTAAAATAATCATAATCATCGTCACCGACTATGAGTTTTTCTAAAATAAAATCTCGTACGTGTAAAGTCAACGAATATAATATTGTATTGCTTAATTTTATTGCAATTCGGTCAATATTAGCATCTACCATGGATATTTAAAACATCCTCTCTCTTCCAATACAATTTTCAACATCGTCTAAGCCCGTGATCCCGCCGCAACATTCTGCACCCATCTGTTTTTTTGATGAAACCTAATTTAAATGAATGATTACTTAAAACTTTTTTTACCTTTAGTTAAATTTAGTGACTCCTATTTTGTTAAGTAAAAATGGCATCAATATGTCATCTGATAGGAAATGATGTGGAGAATTCAAAAAACAATCAGGCGCAACTATAGACTTGCCACGTGTGAACAGGTGCATTTCTGTTGATTATTTACACCCATCTGTTTTTTTTATTGATATCTACCCTAATTGAAGTTTCATTTACGTTCGTCGTATCATTTATACACGATAAGCCATGGTTGCCATTTAAAAGATGGTCGCAAGTAGGGGCTGCCATGCTTTAAAGTGAGGATCTGAACCTCAAGCCCACCACTTAAAGTCCATATAAAAAATAAAAAATAAATATAATATAATTCCAACACTCACACCAATTAGCCTAGCCCCAAAGCAAGCAGTAAGCACTATAAGGCTTGTGTTATGGGATACTAGGGTAACAGATAGAATACATACACTATACATATATAAGTATATTTTTATAGAAATACATATTAAACATCCATGAATGGAGTACAAATGCTCGTATTCATCACACAATCATCTACCTAAACCGGGCTTTGAACCCGGAGCCTCTCGAGTCAGCGACACCATGATACCCGGCGTACAAACCACTCGGCCACGCAGGTTGTCAAAAACCACCTAGAATGAATGCAACAATGATATTATTCCTTATTTTTACTGTAATTTTATACGAACCGGTTTCTGGACAGAATGATTGATCAAAATTAGTGGGCCCAAGTCAGAGAACCCACCGCTCAATAATCTAGCTATCTGTTTTATAATGAATCTTTATTTAAATGCATGATTAGTGAGTATACGATGTATTAGTGACAAGTTGCCTAAAAAAGTCGCAAATACCTTTAATTCAATTTAGTGACATACCTATTTACGCATGGCAACCCATACTTACCAACATACAACCATCTTTTAAATGACAACCATGGCTTATAGTGTACAGCGTATATGAAACTATAATTAGGGTAGATATCAATAAAAAAAATGTTCACACGCGGTAACCCTAAGGTTGCGGCAGATTGAAAGGTTTTTTTAAATTCTTCACATCATTTCTTTTTCGATGACATAAATTTTATCAAAAAAAACATATGGACGCAATTTTCATAAAAAATGGATGTCACTAAAATAAATTAAATGTATTTGCGGCTCCTTTTTTTTAGGCAACCCATGATTAATGCAGTGTATAGTCACTAATCATTCATTTAAACTAGGTTTCATCAAAAAAAACAGATGGGTGCAGAATTTTGCGGCGGGATCGCAGGCTATAAATATAATTTCATAATAAGAAACTCACATTCTTTCATAACATCATGTATTATGGCGACAAACGTTAAATTCAATTAACCTTTCAGAGTTAGGTTAGGTTAGGTTAGTTTAACACACAAAAGTGTTTTCTCCATTGTCATTAGTAAACCGTCCCTATTGCATCGTTTTTTACGTATGTACATACTTTTATTCTATACTCTGATTAAGAAAAGCGTTTTCAAGTATGTTTGAATAGAACGCTCGATTAGTTTTTAACTTTCCCGTCGAAGTTTTAACGTGACTCTTCGTTTGTCTGGCGAACTGTAGAATTTATACGTTCTGTGTAGAGACAACCACAGAGGTCTATCGAGGGTTTTTTCACTTTGAAATTTTCCGTAGAATTCAATAAACTAAAATACAAACAACTAAGGGGGCCCATAATAAATTGAGCCTAAAGTTGGCCAAAAACGGTTTTTTCCATTTTACTCTGTCATAGTGCCATTAAAAGAAAATAATGTATATTTAATAAAAATTGTAGAATTATTGAATCTGGATCGATTTTCAGAACCGCGATTTCACAAAATTCAGAAATTAATTATTTATTTCCAAAAAACCGTTAAAATAGGGTTTTTTTAGAAACGCTCATATCTTTGTGATAACAAATATTTTTTTACGGAACTTGGTTTACTAGCGACACTAGATTTATTTCAATAAAATTAGAAATATCGGTTTCAAAGAGTCGTAGAGCTTTTTTTTTAATTTATAAAAATAAAACAGCTATTCAAAAATGTTTGGATGATTCAAAAGTGTTGTACTATACATCCAATTTGAATAAAGATATATTGATTTCTGATTTCTGAATGTTGCAAACAATTTCTCAACTGGATTCGAATCCGGGACCTCTAGAGTAGGCGACACCTTGAAACACGGCGTATAAAACCACTCGGCCACGGAGGTCGTCTGTTAAGCTTAACTTTCGCAGTGGTCGATGATTGCATGCGTGACCAAATATTTACCATCACGAGCTGCTTGCTTCGGAAGGCACGTTAAGCCGCTGGTCCCGGATGCATCTGCACCAACTCGCACTGGGCCCCCGTGGTGGGTCATGGCTCGAGAGGTGCCGGGTTCGAATTCCGGTGGGGGCAGATGTTTGTGTGATGAATACGAGCATTTGTACTCCAGTCATAGATGTTTAAAATGTATGTCTACACAAATATGCTTATATAATATGCGTAGCAGTATATTATGTATTCTATCCGTTACCCTAGTTATCCCATAACACAAGCCTTGCAATGCTTACTTTGGGCCTAGGCTAATTGGTGTGAGTGTTGGAAATATTTATTATTATTATTATTATTATTATTATAATTTCAACGATTGCAGCCGAACGTGCTAACCACTTACGCTACCGAGCTCCTCGCGGTGATACGCTGGGGGAATTCACACTATCATTGAGATAAGACAATGCGACGGCCTCGCCGCGATTCTCCCGCTCTTTGAGAGGACGCCTATAAAGTTATCGCAGTACATTGCATTTGTGAGTCGATAGGCTTTTTTGATGCTAGCCAATTTCATATTTAAGTAGATACGCGATCGAGTGTGCTACATTCTCGAAGTAGGCTTTGCTTTGCATGATGAACATTGCATTTAAATAGAACCCTTCAGTTGGCACCAGTTCGTCATCAAAAGTGTGATAGTTTTCTTTCTTTTAATAATTAAAAAGATAGACAAACAAACTATCTAGTATTGAAAGAGATTTCATGAATAATCTAAGGTTAATTTTAATGTTTATGTAATTATTTAAGTAAGTAAATAATTCGAAAGATAATCTGGTCCCTGTTGTAAACAGTTATATTGTGTTATTGAAAATGAGGGTGATAACTAACGATAACGAAAGAGTCTCAAAGGACAAATGAACAATCGAATAATAACAGTAGATCATTACGAATCAGAAAGAAAAATAAAACTTACCTATACCATTTTCGCTTTTGTTTATCAAATTATTGTCTACGTTTGTGAGTAGTTTTCACGACAAAGCTATTGTGTCGCTTGTTTTGTTTCATGCGCGATAAGGATTGTTCCTAGTTTAGTATGATCGACCAAGTCTAAATCACAGCATTAATGTTTTCAATAACAAAGATTAAAACGCTGTACAGTATACAAACCACCATATATTTATTCTATCTATATGACGCTTTGACGTCTAAACCTCTTAGCCGGTTTTGATAAATTTTAGTTCGAAGGAATAAAAAACCAATAAGTGCGAGTCGGACTTGCCCACCGAGGGTCTCGTACTAATTTGATGCCTAGGCAACAAAAACAGCCGTACCTACATTTTACGTTGTTGTGTGATTTTTTCACAGCTTCAAAGAATCGTACTTTCAGTATATGGTTAAAATATCAACTCCACGTATTCTAGAGATAAAGGGTCTTGACAGACAGACGGACATCAAAATGATCTTTTATGGATCTTTCCCCTTTTTTCTTTCGAGGTATAGAACCCTAGAAATGGATAACAACTTTGGTTACTTTTAGGAACATATGAGTGAAAGGAAAGATCAAAGTTTTGAATGAAATCAGTTGAACAGAAGAATTCAAAAGCACCCACTAGTATGTACTAAGCTTTAAAACGCGGCATCACTCAGTCCGTAGTGCCGCACCCGCCGGAGTGGCCTGGCAAGAATCTGGCCAAAACATTACGGCAGATATCTATTGTCAGCAACTGCAAACCATGAAGGAAGAACTAGCTGCTAAAAAACCGAGATTGGTCAATCGCTCTAGGCCACTACTGCTTTACGACAACGCAAAACCACACACTGCACAACAAACAACCACTAAGTTAGATGAGCTACAATTGGAATGTCTGTTGTTCTTCAACGAACAGAGATACAGATACAACGAATACAACATGCAGAAGACTGAAATTTGTATTCCGCCGTTCTTTTTCTGAGTGTATATGCTGTTGGTCGCAGATGACCTTTACAGCGTCACCGGGTTTGGGGACGGCGAGATCCTTAGGGGACCTCAAGCCGAGAATTGGCGGGTGCCTCTAGAGGTATTCCAGGCGGATGGCTTCTCCCCACGGGGGGAGTCTCCTCTCCGTTTGGAGCCTCTAGACCACTCGAACCTGAGGGGGTCGGCTCAACTAAAGGGCCTCTCTGAGACTGACCTCAGCTCTAGTTATCCGTTATCATAGGGGGTAGGGACACGAAAAAAGTATCGATACTTTTGGTATCGAGTACTTTTCCTTTCGATACCGATACTTTTGTACTCGATACTTTGTATTCGATACTTTTACTAAATGAGTACTTTTTGGCAAGTATCGATACCTTTAAAAATTTGGATAAGCGCCTCATATTGATGGCAACGCCATCTTGTTAAATCATAGCAAACCTTTTAAAACGTTCCATAGGGTATTTGACAAGTTTTAGGCAACGATCTCACGTTATTGACTAATGTCTATGGAGTCCGTAATGGAAATGGATATTCATCATTCTGTCATGTATTTCAGTAAAAATAACCAAATCAAAAACTCCATTTTCAAGTTGCCGCGAAAACCTTTCTCTGGACAATATGGCGTCTTACTAGTGTGTGACGTCACACGACTGTTATTAAAACGTCAAACGATACAATGTAATGTCACCTTGACCGGAAGTTTACTTGCGTGTGACGTCATTTTAGGCTCCGCCAATCTCAAGCGTTTTGGGTCACGTGACAATAGATAAGAAAACTAATATCTTTTTCGTTATTTTGGCACTTTATTTTTAATACTGTTAAATACCCTATTACGTTGTTATAAAGTCAGTAACTGACATATTCAAATTCTTTCCAATCTGTGACTGTGTTTATTTTGCGCTTTGTTTTGTTTCATAGTTATTTATTTAGCGACCATATTGTTAGGAACTGTGATTGATTCGCCGTTTATTGTGATTTTAACACCTGGGGGGGGGGGGGGGGGGGTTGCTCATCATGAGCATGTACAAGCTATCGAGTATATCGAGTCTATACTTTGAAGTATCGATACTTTTGTTTCGATATTTTTACGAGTACGATACTTTTTTACCGATACTACTCATGAGTACAGTATCGATACTTTCTATTCGATATCGTGTCCCTAATAGGGGGCAGGGAAAACGCCAAGGTACGACCTGTACCTGGCATAGCGTGTCGTGTGTAGACCTTGCGTCCACCAGTAGGTGACGCATTTGAGTTTGATGTTACCGTCCTTGCAAACGGTGCGTGCGAGATTAAACTCGGAAGGTACTTACACGAACATGTTTAGTGTACATTCACGGTGTATATAAATACAAATATAAATTTAACTTTTATTTCCATGTACATCAATTATTAAATACAACACATTAAAAGCGGACAAAACACGTTAAATACTCCTTACAAATAATTAATTTGTAAGTTAGTATTTTAAAAGAAGTTATTAAGTTTCTTTATCCCTTGGTTTTGGTTTATTTAAGACAAATTGCAGGCCATATTTCACTCTGATTGTGTACTTCGTTATATAAGACAAGGTTTCAAGGTTTTTAGCTTGCTATTTTTAATTGAACAATGTAACTACATACTTACTACTCCATTTTCGAGAGAAATTTTATTCTCAGTGATCTTTCTTTGCAACATTTTTTAAGCAAATTACACACGTAGTACGAGTACAGTAGAGTAATACTTTTTACAATATAACTAAATGTGATTTACGTGTTTATCCTTCACTCGAATGCAATTGCAATCGCTGTATTTGTAGCATCAAACCTTCTATGGACATTTAAGCGACATACAATTACAGCTGCACTCAGATTCATCTATTTAATTTAAGGTTACGTTTGACCACATGTTGTATTTTCTATTGTTATTGCAATCACATCATAATTTTTGATCATATTTACAAGTGCGGCGGTAAGCTGATTTTTAACAAGTTAATGAGATGGGTATCCACAACATTTGGGTTAAAGCTTACAAAAACATCTAATTGTTCTTTTCCGCAGTTCACAATATCCTGACCGTGAACTGAACTGATCCGTTGTTTACTATTTGGCAATCGAGGTCGTTAAAATGTACCTTCAATTAGTAATTCAATAGATCTACACACGCGGTAGTGAGTCAAGCCAAGTTTAAGCTAGATTTTATATACGAATTATATTAAAGCCTTCGCAAGTTCATATTTTATTCTTCCAAAAATTAGGCTTGCTGGTAGAAACTAGTCATGGAACATAAGGTCTCTTCCATGAATTTTTTAGTAGGTACTTAATAATAATTCGTATATGAGAACTAGCCAAGTCAGACCTTAGGCTTTAATATATTATCCTAAGTTATAAGAAGAAATGTTATTTTAAGTGGTTATAAGAAACTATATTGTCAAAATCCAATTTCAGTCCTGACCTGATTTAGATCCCACTTTTGTAGTTGAAGTGAACAACTAATGCATATATCATAATATTGAATTTGGCTCTCATTTCACATTTATGTTTTTGATGGGATTGCACTTTAATAGACTTTGTTACGGGCAACTGTAATTTGTTTATTTTATGGTCTGTCGTTAATTCCATTAAAAACTGTGTTAATATGCCAATTACATCTTTCAATTACTTAAGGAGCTTAAAACCTTGACTCTAATGAAAGTCTTTAGCTAAAGTGATTATCGGGCGTGGCTGTTAATTTTTTCTTCGTCTTCTGTTGGCGTATCATGTTTTGTTTGTTAAACCTCTTTACAAATCAGATCATTAAGAATTCATTAAATGTAGCCTCATTTTAATTTTCTTGTAGAAATATCACTAAATAGTGTTATAATATATTACAGATAGTTTCTAAAAGCATATTATTTATCGTTCAAACTTGGCCGAAATAAGCATTTAAATAAAGGCTGATTATTTTGTTTTACATAAACCTTCATCAAAGTCATTAAGAAAATAATAACAAAGACTACTATTCAATTTTAAATGAATCATTAAAGCAAACTTATATTATTAAAAACTCACCGGTTTCACAATTTTCAGCTATCATTTTCTCGGCTGTCTTGCTTGTTACAATTGCGCGACGAACACTATTTACGTTATAACGCGACCCTATTCGTCAAGGAAGCGTCCAAGCACTATGGGCACATGATATTTTGCTGCACACTTTGTCTGTTTTAGTCCGTGTGCTCTCCCTGTTAGAGTCTACGTAACAATAAGTTTCGTCGCATGCGCAATACGTTCAATTGCCATAATAGACGATATATTAATCACTCATTGAAAACGTCGACGTAAGAAGTATGTGAGTGCACACAATTGATTGGATTTGAAAATATACAGGTGGTGTTTTTCAACACGCTACGTGGTAACGGACGTCCTGATATCTGGTATTGTTATATGGTGTCACAACTAGACGAAGTAGTAGGGTCAAACTGCCTGACGTAAATAAATCATGAATTTGTCAGATTCTCGTGCCAACATCTTGCACTGACACTAAATGGCAGTTTTTCTAAAATAAAAACAATTACAATACGTTCAATATGAAAGGTGCATTAATTTTCTTGCCATCTTTTTTTAAGTACCTAAAGGTATATAGGTATATTGTATAATTTAACTTTTCCTAAACGGATACATTGACGACCTCCGTATCTCGAATGTTATGTACGCCGATTTTCAAGGTGCCTCCTACTCAGAGATCCCAGGTTCGAATCCCGGTGGGGCAAGGGTTTGAGTGATGAATACGAGCATTTGTATGTACAAACGACTTAGGTAAGTCATGGATGTTTATATGAATTTCTAAATAAAAGTATACCTACTTATAATTGTGTCAGTATATGTATTCTATCTGTTACCTTGGTATCCCATAACACAAGCCTTACAGTGGTAACTATGGGACTAAGCTAATTGGTGTGTTAAAAAAAACGATATTGATTAGATTTGATGTGTTCATTTAATTGGATTGTTGTTTAACCGCCACTTTCGCGGAACAAACCTCCTTACCACTGTGCTATCGAGCTCCTACTTCCAAGAAAACACAGCAAACTTAATATTTCATTTTTTTTAACTTAATTATTATGATTGCATTTTACACTTGTAATTATTCTAAGTTATGCCGTTAGGGTACCTATAACAAGTGACCCATGCAATATAAAGCGAAAAAGATATTTTATTTTATAGAGGTTTTTATTATCATACATACTGTAGGTTAGTACTATCTATTGAAAATAATTGCAAGATAATGGAAATTTAAAACTCATCGAAAAGAAACGCAACAGTATTTTGTCTGCCCTCTTTATTTAGAAAATTTAGAACTGTTCCAAGTTTGTTCAACTGACTTGGCACTAATTCAATAGTTCATGTTATTTTTGTTCACACGACACCCTACCTTTTGTTTTTCTTTTGGTTGACGTCACAGTTAAATTCAAAAGTATCACGTATTTGATTTTGTCATAAAAGATATATGTTTCGTTCTCTCTGTAATATTTTTTTAGTAAGGTTTTTATACTGTCTCCCATACCAAACCCAGTCTAGTGTGGGCCAATAGTAAAGGAGATTGCTCAGCTTCCATACATGTTTGGCCTAAAGACCAATAATCATGAAAAATTGTTTCCTAGATTCGAAATTATATATAAATTACTGTAGAAACGAATATTATTAACGGACACCCCTGAGAACTTCTATAAACCATATACACTGAACATATTAAAATTATAAAAAACAAATAAGTTATATAGTAAAAACTAGGGAAATCAAGCCAAGTACCGAAAATTATGGATTAGATTCAGGTATATAGAGCATGTAGATTAACAGATAGTTGCCTGTTTTTAAAGTTAATGCATAAGAGTAACTTCTAAAATCAGGTGTCATTTCGGGTTATAATAAGGTACTCTGTGACAGAAACTGTGTGATGAGAATGAGAATTTTTAAACTCTCGTTATCCAAAGAAAGCTAAGAGATTTAGGTTCTATAGCCATATATTCAGTAGCTTCATTACTTTTGTTATGTTTTTAATATAACCATATTTTAGATTTTTAGTGTATCACACCTTATAATTTTATTTATTTATTAATTTATAGTCAGAAAACGTAGGTCCATAGATAGATAGATACCTTAAAGCCTTAAAGTCTAACATATATACAGATTATAATGTGTTTATGGAGGTGTTTGGCGAAAAATGTATGGCAATAGACTTTATGATGTCGCCTACCATCTATAAAAATTGTCTGAGCACATTTGCATCTAGTGAAAATGTTAATATAGATGTGGATATTAATACCACAGTGTAATAAAAAAAATGATTTATTTTGTCGATCTTTATAAAATAGATTTGTTTTTATGTTATATAAACAACTTCGATCAGTCTTTGGCTGAATGTTATTACACCCATAGCCATTAAAAATGATTCGTATGTTTTCCAAACCGGTAAAATTAAAAGTCCTTTTTAAAGTAAATATATTATACAAAGGTGTCCGTTGAAATCTAATGGCTGTAAATTAAATTATAAATTATGCCAAGAATTACCGTGTATGTCAATATTTTTTGTGCATTTGGGCCAATTTGAGCAATCTCCTTTAGTACTTAATAATTGATAGAATCCGTTATGTTGATATTGTTTTAAACTTTCATCGCCACTAACATTATAGTTATTGGCGGGATTTCTACCATGTAAGTACCTTGTTTTTTGTGAATCCCCTATATTTCGGCACTGTTGCAAACGTCACTTCGCACTTTGATCCACTTGATAAGGTTTTCTATAAAAAAAAAGTAGGACTCTACATATCAACCTTGCGTTGATAAAATTTGTAATACAATAGTAAAGAGCAGAGATGGGCTAACTATGACCCGCAAATGGTTGAAATCCGGCTCGTGACCATCAAACAAAAATCAAAAGTTCTTACCAAAAAGTATTTTTTTTTTCACATATTCCGTTGTTTTCAACCCGCTGCCGAACCTGTTTCCTCACTACTTACTTCGCAGCAAAATCAGAAGCGTATTTGGAGGGTCAGGGTAAAACTTGACCTGCCAAAGATTTTAATTGGCAATATAAGGAAAGAGTTTGCCCATTCCTGCATGCAAACAAGGAGCGTCGACCGTGTTGTTCTATGTACAATAGCCATGGCGTTTTGTAAAAACCTAAAGCACGATTTTGCATGATAACGTTGAAACGTTGTTTTAGGTTTTTTGACGAGATAACATCTTATAAATCGAGAAACACCGGCTGCACGCACGAGAAGTGTGAAGTCATGTAACAAGTCACGTTATGTGACGTCATGTCACATTAGTTCAACGTTCCGCGGTGTGTGTCTGTTGTCATCTTTTCGCGTGTGGGGAATCTGATGAGGATAGTTCCTTTGCAGATGTAGCGGGTAACCGACCGGGTGAAACCCATAAGGGAGGCCCGGTGAGCGAACTGCGAGCAGGAGGTGGACTTATCGAGGGGTGGAGGCAGGGTTAGTCGTACGGTGTGGTTAGGTTGTTATCGTTACTTTGGGTAACAGGATTCGGCGTGGTGGACCTCCCGGTGTGCGGGATCGGGAACTGGTTGGCATTTTTTCTGGTGGTAGTAGTTCGCGAGGCAGTGCTCTGTCGCGGCGAGTACGGGATCGCTCATACACACATCGCAGACATTTACATTGACTTGGCCAGGCGGCCAGGGTTGAGATGAAGTCGTCAATGGGCTCTACCTTTAGGTCGCGTAGCAGTATAGAGTTCCTGACAAAGCGACCCAATGGTATGCAGGGAGCGATTTTACTGCGCGCGTCGGTGGCTGAGAAGCAACTACCTTCCGCCATGTGTTGGGTGCGGGGGGACGCGAACATGGTAGCGGGGCGGAGGGCGGTCGTTCCCTGAGCTAAGAGGGCCGCGGGTGCGTGCGCGCTGGTCTTTGCCCTCTGCGGGGCTTTAGGACAGCCGCGGTAGTTCGCAGTGTGCTGGCCGCCGCAAAGAACACAGCCCGGTGGGTTTTTCGGTACCAGGACCCTCGGCCGTGGACAATTTCTCCCGTGGTCGAGCGTGCACTGGACGCATCGAGCACGGGCGAAACAGAGCCGGGCTAAATATTTATACAGATATTGGTCTGTACTCATACATGGTTTGCTTCAGAATATTCGTTATTTAAATTAGCACAAAGTAATCGAGTACAGCCTATGTGTGTCTGTACTGATATACAGTGTGCCTTTACGCTGCCTGGCTGGCCTGATGTGGTTTTCTGTTATTTTTCTTTTATTTATTATGTATATATCTGTCGATCTTGCTAGTATAAAAATAAATAAATAAAGAATACCTAAACAAGTACAATCGAAAAAGAAATTTAATTATTAGGTAAAAGAAACTTTATAGTGCAAGGTTATTTTCATTAGAAATACTATACTTAACAGCGGTTCGTCGTGATGTTCAAACAAGAACGTTCGTGATGAGAATCTTTGAAAAAGAAAAAGCACGTCTTCTTTGATCTCAATAGAATAAAATTTGTACATAAATAGGATGGCTTTGAAATAAATGCAACATTTAACATGTGTTGTGTCGTTTCTGAACGACTTTTATAAATACTTGACTCCAAATTTGGCACGTAAGTTCCTCATACTCCAGGGCTGTATTAAGGAATGATTTTTCAAAATTCACTCCCGTCAGGGTTAAAATAGAGGATAAAAAAGTGTATGAAAAATCTTATTCCTTGAGTTAATAGACTTGAAACTTGGCACGAAATAACTTATAAACTTTGTAATTTTTAGTTTTCCTAAACTACCCCTAATAAGGAGGGTGTCGGAGTTTCTATATAGATTGATTTAACGTGCATTAGTTACCTGGAAACTTGGTATTTTTACTTAAGACCAGATACAAAGAATTGCGTCTATCAGGGTTTTTCGAAATTCTACCCCTAAGAGAGTAAAAAAGGGAATGAAGGTTTCTATGAAAAATCTTATTCATTGAGTAAAAAGAATTAAAACTTGATACTATAATACTTCTCTAAATAAATAATAAAAATTGCCATTTTTGGTTTGCCTAAACTACCCCAAAAGGGGGGATTCCAGGTGCCGAAATTTTTATATAAATTAATTTCAAGCGCATGAAAATAAACTTGAAACTCAGTATTTATACTTGTATCTAGATTTTTAAAAATTTACCCCTGAGGGGTAAGAAACTAAATGAAGGTTTGTATGAAAAATTGTATTCCTTGGGTTAATAGACTTAAAATTTAGCACAAATACTCTAAAACTCCAAACGTGGTCTAAGGAAAACAACAATGATTTTAAAAT